TTTGAAACAGAATGCCATCCTGAATAGTTCTTTGGTTCTTGTGAGTAGCAGCACAATGTATGCCCATAGGCCAACCAAAGTTCTTAATCACACAATCCAAAAAGTCCCAGTACTCGTCCCTGCTAGTACATTCCAGAACCAAATTGCAGTCATAACACTTCTCGAATCTTGACAGCAGACTATACCCCTTCCTGAGTGAGGCAGCATCGCCTACCTGATACTTAAAGAACACAGACACGTCGTCAATTAGACGTATCTCATGGAACAAGCTACGATCAACACCCAGGCTCGTCAGAGAAGTAAACTCCGAAAAGGCGCACAGCAAGCACGCAATCGCAGGACTAGATGATTTTCTCATAGGTATTCCAATAGCTTGTTGCAAGATTCTTCCAGAAGCTGCAAGGTGCGTATTCTTCAAGTCAAAAGTAACAAACTCTCTAATAGTATCGAAATTGACCCCCTCCCAGCCTTCGGGAATCCTTCCCTTCCACATCCTGGCGTCCTTCCCCCGCTTCCTCAGTAGGACACAAAGAAATCCAGAAATCCACAATCCAACGCAATCAGAATTGATGAATGCGGGAGATTGCAAAACATCTCCTTGATGTCATAGGCAGCCGTGATCCAACCCTCACCTTGTTTTAAATCCTTGTTTGCATCTATCAGGCTACTAGGCAAAAGGTCAGTGCTTCGTAGATTGAAATTGGAACGTTTCGGAAGCCCCCAGATCATAATATTTACGGCCTTAGAAATTTTCCGACAGGCTCTCACGCAGCAGTCAGAATAAGTAGGACAGATGGACCTCCACTTTTTGGTATCCTTGTGCTTAGGAATTGCGTATGCTTATCCAATCTTTCCATTAGAATTCCATTTAGCCAGTTTTAACAAACCCACCTTCTTATACTCATCCTCCATCCTGGCCGTCAACACATCTTCAGAGTCTTCAACCAATCGGAAACCAGGATTAAAGAGAAACAGCTTATTCATGCCAGACTGATACACTGGCGGGCAACAGACCAGGGTATCTCCAGGGTTATGGTCTATAGGAACCTTAACCAGACCTTCAAAACGTGATTTCCAATTTTGAACGTTCTCTATGCAACAAGGGTTGGGCAAGGTACACACAGAGTCCCGAACACAGCCCTTCAAATCATCTCGAGAAAAACCTGGGACCGGCAGGTTCACCTTCTTGACGGAATCAACCAGTTCTTTACCTAGTAGACGAAAGACATCACCCTTAGAAGGCTCGGGAATGTTTTTGCTATTCCTTAACCACGTAGGAGCACCATCGAAATCATTGAGCCGAAAACAAATATGACCTTCTACCTTAGGAAAATCCAAATTATCTGAGCATCGACAGGAGAGTCCTTCCCCCCGAGCGGCTGTCCTAAAACCGAACAGTAAGTCACCAATACTCTTATTTTTTAGCCAGACGACCCTCATGCGCCTGACAAGCATCTCCTTCCATCCCTGAATAATGTCAAATTTCCAAATAAAAGACTTGCAAAGATCCCTGATGCCCGGCTTGCTGCGTCATTTGTCGTAAGTCACTCGTACCACCAGTCGCTGCCTAACATTGAGACCATAGTTCTTAGAAATAACATTAGATAAAATGAGCCGAATAGAGCAGCGGGTACATTTCTCACAGAAGCAGCGAGCAGCAGAAAAAGAGGCGATCAGGACGGAGAGATCCCAAGTAGCCAACTCTTTACGAAGAGGGGGATTCGCCAACAGATCCCGGAGTGCAGGTTTGAGAGAGAGATAGCGAGCGCCAAAGAAGATAATAGAGGGGACAAGAATATAGCATCCTGACTGGAATAACCCTTTACATTTTTTCAACAATTCTATCTGTCCTCTGGATTCAACCACAGAAGAACCGTATTTTCGTTTGACCATCTTCCAGTTCTCTGTCCATCTATTTCCCCCAGAGCAGTAGATCCCAACCGAGGAAACATTACCGTCTCTACAGTGCTCGAAAATTTTAGAAATAGACGAAGACACGATACCGTTAGTCCCATGGAAGACAACGTGATTATTGATCCCATCGCCAACCGAATTGGAAACACGCCCCAACTTCTTACGTTCACGCTTGCCCGGTCTCCTCCTTTTGCCTTTAGTCGGCCGATCCCGACTATTCAAATGAGGGTTAGCAAGGCGAATAATACTTCGCTCCAACTCATCTTGCTGACAATAGAAACGAGGTAATGCGACATACTGAGCAACTCCACATCTACGAAGCCATGAATACAATTTATGATTACGACAGCCTTCTTCCACAACTTTCTTGCTACTGGCACGATAAACATGTTCCACCCATCGCGTGGACAAGGATCGTGACGTAGATCTGACATACACATGTCTATTCCACGGGGAAATAAGCAAGTACACCAAAGGACCCTGACAACATTCCAACTCAGCATTGCCCAAAGCAAGATAATTACGAAATTTAAGCGCCCAGGGAATTTGTCCATCGAGAATAAGACGCAGAACAACAGTACGGAAAAAACCATTAAAACTCTTATCGCGAATGTAATCAAAGGAAGACTTGGAAAGTGAGTCAAGAGACGAAGAATCAGACGAAAAATCAGAAGAGGCGGTTGAAGAAGAGAGGTAGTCAGGAACCAAACCGGACTCAAATCTCGCGGAAACAGCGGAAGCATGATGACAGTCTCTACATAAATTCGCCAATCTCCATAAGTAAGCCGCGTCCGGGGACCACTCTAGAGTTCAGCGGAAACTCCACAGGCATCCGTTGAGTCGTCCCCACCTTGTGTTGACTCAGAATCGATCACCACAGGTTGCTTGTCTCGAGTAGGAAAACTGCCGAAGTCTTGAACAACTCGATTTTCGGCGATGGCGTCAATCATTGGATCCACTTTGCCAGTTTCTAGTCCAAGATCCTTGCACAATGCTTCTAACCCAGTCTTTCGAATAAATTTGAGTTGTTTCTTTTGCTCCTCGATGAAAGCCGATCGATCCGTTGTTTTCATGGCGCCTTCTCGGTTCGGAGTGGCCTTCTTCCCTTTACGAGCAGACCGGAGCGCAGCCGCCTCAAGTTTCTCCTTGAGATTGGTGCCCCCTCCTAAGGTCCCGACGTCACGATCTTCAGCGGATAAGTGACTCATCTTCTTCTGCATGCTCAACACATCGGATGCCGCAAGTGCATGCTTCTTCTTCAGCATCTCAACTTTTGCAAAGTCAGCTCTCGTCAACTCTTGCAATCTACGGTATTCTGCCTTCCATTTATCAGCGCCATCTTGCCCCAGGTCGATCCAACGTGGTTTCAGAGTCCCTCGATTGGTACCATCGAGAGTATTGATAGCAACACTTCCTCGCTTATTCCCTGACCTCATGGCCTCATCTTTCCACATTTTAACCTCACTTAGAGCCCGTTCATTCTGTCCACGTAGCACAATCATCTCACTCTTCAGATCGGCTAATTCGTGCTCTACATCGCCTCTGGCATTAGCGGAAGCCCGAAGCTGCTCGATCTCTTGTCTAATCGCCATCATGTCATTTTCCTTGGTGTTCTTCGATGCAATAAGCAATCGAAGATCTGCAAGGTCTTTCTTCAACTTATCGACCTGGTTGACTTCGCTGTCTCCTAGCAAGGCACGACGCAACTCATTGTTCTCTCTTCTCAAACGTACGACCTCATCATCCGAAGAGCTTCCCTCCTTCGTTTTGCCCATAGCCTTATCCATGCGTTTCTCAATTCTCGATCCCATATCTTCCTCGAAGCGTTCTCGTTCTTTTTTTCACTGAGCACGTTGCTCTTCTTCCTCCTTTTCTCTCTTAATTTTCTCTTCCTGCTCCTTCTGCTTCTTTTCCTTCTCTTCATCCTCGAGCAACTTCTCGAAAACCTTATCTAGCTTCTCCTGGTTATTCTTCCAAAAATTGTTACGAGGAGCTACGCCGTGATGATAACCACCGGTTCCTGCCATGTGATATCCAACGTTAGTTGGCACGCTCTGCGAGGCCGGGAGAGTCAAAAGAGGAGCACCAGTGGGCACAGCGTTAGCACCCGTAGCCAGGGGACGAAATCTGCCGTTACTCTGTGGACATTCACGAAAGAAGTGGTGAGGTGATCCACAGGTGTAACAAGTCCTAGGTGGAAATTGCGAAGCCATGGAGAAAAGCAAAATAAGCCAAGCAATGTAGGAAAAGTAAGAATAGTGACGTCTTGGTCAATCGTAAGTCAACAGATGGTCAACAAGTCACACACATGTAGTGCAATTCCTACGGTGGTTACACTGCCGAAAGGACGTTGGTAATAGTATCACATGCATCCAACCAAATATGAATAGTTAATAACAAGACATCACACCAATGAAAAAAAGAAAAGAGAAAGACACAAGACGATCGGAAGGAAAGGAGATAAAGAATATCACACCAATGGAGAAAAGGAAGAGAGAGACAAACCGACAAGTAGTAAAACAACTCCCGAACGTGACGGGATAAGCCAATAATAAGCGTGAAGCACAAAATAGCGGCTTATCGATGCTCGAGCCGAAGATAGGCATCGCGCCTATAGTCGTAAGAATCCATGCGAGCAACTGGTGGATGACCCTACGTTTCGTCCAGTTGCCAGTACCGGACTCATCAGGGGTCTTTGCGAACGCAGAAGATGGCAATACTTCCGGCCGACGGGTATAAGTACCCGTGAAGTCCTAGCAAGACTAAATCATAGAATAGTACAAGCACTAGGAACTAGTCCAGATACTACCGAACCTACACTGGGCCAAAAGATCGAATGAAATTTGCAAAAATAAATCTATCGAGAAAGAGGCCCAAGAACACAGGTACTAGGTCGAAAAAATAGGCAGATACATCTCCCAGCCTACTCCGGGCCTCGGCAGACCCAGAAAAAATTCCTCAACTCAAGACCACAATTGGAGGCTTAAGCCCCCGTAATTCTGTACAGTAAGGAGGTGGCCTGGGGGCCCCGATATAGCTGCGTATAAAATTCACGTCCCATCCGGTAAGACAATCCAGCCAAGCATCCCAGCAACCACCAAATTTGCTGGAAAAGTTACGCAAGGSGAAGTCAAAGAAATCATCCTCAAACCCCCGAAGACGAAGCTCAATTTTCAGAGAAAACAGGAAACCCACTTCAGCCAAAGGCATATCCGTGAATCTTCTTGCTCGATGAAAAAACGAGCCGATGACTGCTAACTTCTGCTGCCGGCTAGTGTAGGAACATGCATCCTGCAAATTTTGAAACAGAATGCCATCCTGAATAGTTCTTTGGTTCTTGTGAGTAGCAGCACAACGTATGCCCATAGGCCAACCAAAGTTCTTAATCACACAACCCAAAAAGTCCCAGTACTCGTCCCGGCCATGGCCTATCCAAGCTTTAAACTTTTCGTGATGTTCTATCTGGTCTGTCCTACATTCCGAGTGCGGAATTGTACGGATGAATTTGAACAAATGGTGGCCAGTCTATAGGTTGTCTTCAAAATGAGACGGAAAATGTAAGGATTCTTTGTTTATCCGTTTTCGCACAGCACTGGGCTTTTTTTTTTTTTTTTTTTTTTTTTTTGAAAGTAGTGGGAAAAATTGGAATTCGCTGCTATAGTGAGAAAGGGTGTGTCTATTAAAAACAAAACAAAAACAAAACAAAATTAAAGAAAAAAAAAGGGTCTGTCTACTTCAGACTCGGTCTCACAAATCCTAACTCCCGGAACTCTACTGAAATTGGGAAAGTTTAAAATTCAAGGGCACTTTGTTCGTATTTTGATTTTGAGGAATCATGTGGCAGTCTGCGATGACCCGCCACGGGGTCAAACTTGGCGGGCCGCCACGTTTGTGGCCGCTGCCGCGGATGGCGGCCCCGAAGTCGCGGCCACAATTTTCACGGATTTTTCCCCAGCGAAATAAAGGCCTCGTTAGACACTCCTCGTGGACCCGAAATCCACAAGGAAATGATCGTTCCACCTTTCCTYGGGGAAGATTCTCGAAAAAAAATGTGAAAACACCAGAAGGAGATTTCCTTGTGGCGTCCTTGTGGCCACAACCAATTTTTCCTTAGCCCCAAGTGACCTCCCGAGGTCCCTCGTAGCACAAGGAAGCGAGAATTTCGGAGCGGCGAGGGCATGCGTCGACGTACAATTTCGGTTCGAGGGTGGTCCAAACGTGGCTCAGCGAACCGGAGCACGGACATCCCTGAGTCAAAATTCTGCACGGCGCCGCAACGGCTCCAAACGGTAACCGGCGTCAGGAGGCCTTCGTCCGTCGACGCGAAATGCCGGTCGGTGTCAAGTTCAGATGCTGCGGTGGGCGATCGTCGACAACGGTCCGAAATTTGAATGCTTTTCCTACCGGACGCCCTTTCGACGACGCCAGTCTCATTGGAGAAGATCGTTGTTTTGTAGGATCGTTGTCACGCCTCGCACATTGGAGTAGAGAACTTTCACCGATCTTTGTTGTGTCGACGGGCTTGTCCATTGAACGATCGACCACCGACGTCACAGTGCAGCCCTTCGAACGGCCCTTACATTGCCGACCTGCTGCACAGGCTGCCTCTGCTGGTCCTGGTCGTCGTGCTGCTTCTCGTCGTTCTCTTCTTCCACGTGTGTTTCGTCGGCCTCGTCCCGATCGCGGCGCGCAGAAGGAGATCTTCGAAGAAAGCCGATAGGATGGATCGGCGACTGGGCAACGGCAGACCAGCAGGCACGACCTCCAGAGGGAGCAATCGGCAACACAGTGCGGGGTCTGTGGGGAAGCGGCCGTACGACCCGAGGTCGTATGCACACCTGCCTTCTCACGAGATTCCTCTGCCGCCGTCGGATGACGAGGGGGGAGACGCCAGGTCATCGACTTTGCCGTTGGGAAATGGGTCGACGCAGGAATGGGCGGCGACGTAGTCATGCGGAGGTGGGCGGGTGGAGACCCCATGGTCTTACACGTCACTGTTGAACGAGGGGCTGTGCGACAACGACGACAATGCAGCGGTCGATCTCAGCTTCCAGTTGTCCAGCAGCAGCGGAACAGCGGTAACGCACACTCGGATCATCAATCCCCACCCGAGTGTGGATTGCGCGGACAACACGCACAGTGGTAGCAGCGGGCCGCGAGACGGCGGTCTGCCTCAATCGCTTCGTGAACATGGTGGTAATTGGAATGAGTCGACGTCGATCGTCGGCGGAGGAGTCGGTGCGCGTGAACGTCCGGAGTGGATGTGGTTGTTACCTGCGTCGCGAAGCGGATCCGGCTCTCCTTTTGCACGGCAGCGGCCGGAGGATTTGCGTGAGGAAGATGTGGACGTATAGCGCGACGGCAGGCACCTGTGGGCAGAGTGCAGGCAGGCCTTGCATCAACGTGGAACGGAGACAATCACAAGAGGGGTGCAACAGCTCCACGTGGACGAAGGGGATAAAGCTGCTGCTGAGGAGACCCTAGGGGTGTGATGACGTTGACGGTGACAACGATTGCAACTCCGACGATTTGAAGGACATAAGGCCGTTGGGGAGGAAGGCGACGAAGGGCGGAGCGACTGCGAGGAAGGGTCCCGCTGCAAAAGTCGACGGAGCAAGAAATTGGATGACGAGCCGGGCCGGAGCGGGCCGCCGAAATTTATGGTCGGTGGGAGACACGATCGCACTCGTAAGGGCAAGAAGGGACCAAGAGCTGTATTTCGCGGGCATGGGCACTAGTTTCGCTCGCATGAAATCGAGGGAGTGGAAGTGGGAGGACGTGTGGGCGAGGTTGCAGTCGATGGGCGTGACGAGGGATGCCGTTGACTGCGGGAAGAAATGGGACAACTTCATGCAGCAATTCAAGAAGATCCACAAGTTCCAGAACCTCTCCGACGGGAAAGACTACTTCAAGCTTGCATCGAAGGACAGGCGATCGGAGGGCTTCAGCTTCGTCATGGACCGGAGCGTGTACGACGAAATGGAGGCCATGACGAAGGGGGATCACACGATCCACGCGAAAAATTTGGCGGACACGGGGGCGACCGGTGGGGTTCAGATGCCGGCAGGCACGGGGGCTGCAGGGGACACCATGGCCACTGAGGGTGGAGGGGACACAGCCGATGAGGAGCAGGGGTCGACGAAAGACTCCACATTCAGCGCGGGGAGCGACGACGGTTATGGGAAGAGGAAGAACATGCGGCAACAAACCTTTGAGGCCGTCGCCAACGTCATGGAAAAACATGGTGCGCTTATGGCGAGCACAATGGACAGCGCGAGCAAGCGGCAGTGCTCAATGATGTCATGTCAGTGCGAAATCCTGGAGAGCGAAGTCGAAGTGCAGATGAAACATTATGCTGCGGCGGATGAGTCGAACAGAATGATGTGCCAAGCCCTGATGGAGATAGCAAAAGCCATCCGCGAGAGATCATGAGTGATGCTGACAGTAATGTCCACCTTTGCTTTCCTGGCCTGTCTCTCCTGTCGTTGCGCCTGAGGAGATGGCGACGTGCGTGTGTGTGCGTGTGTGTGTGTGTGTGTGTGTGTGTGTGTGTGTGTGTGTGTGTGTGTGTGTGTGTGTGTGTCGTCAAATGCTCAACAACATATTTTTTAGAATCTTTGTTTTTTTTTTTTTTTTAAGTTGTTGCGATTCGTTTTCGAGGACAGTAGTAAGTGCTGCGTTCGCAGTCTCCACAGCGAGAGGGTCAGTTGTTGGAGGGGTTATGAGGTTCGACGATTGCGGTGGACGAAGGTGTCACCGTTCGTGCCCAGGAGTTTGCGCACCGGGGGGGGGGGGGGTGGGGGGTGGGGGGGTTTTTTTTTTTTTGGGGGGGGGGGGGGGGGGGGGGGGGGGGGGGGGGGGGGGGGGGGGGGGGGGGGGGGGCCCGTGGGGGGGGGGGGGGTGGGGGGGGGGGGGGGGGGGGGGTTGTGGGTTGGGGTGTTCTTTTCTTTTTGGGGTGCGGTGGGTGGATGTGTGCGTTTTTTTTTTTTTTTTTTGTTAAAGCCATATCGGCCCGTGAAGAGTGTGTGGACGCGCCGAGCCACGACGTGTGGAAGGGTCTGTGGGCGCCCCCTATCTCGCCTGGGCGTGGCAACAGTTGAAGGGAGTGCGCGCGAGGGAGGTCTGCAGAGTTGCTGTCACACGTGTCGCTGTCGACGACGACGGCAGGCGAGGAATCGTCGTCGGGGCCCGTCCGTTTGGTCCATGCTTTCTGTTCGTCGACCCGTCGTCCACCATAAAGGTCTTCCGCTTGCGCCTTCTCCAGCATTGAAGGTCGGCGCACACGCTGCACAGCGACAACATCCACGCGGGACGCCCTCTGCCTTTTCTCCTCGTCGTCGCAGAGTCGCTCATTTCTTCGCTGTCGTTGTCGACTTGGTTTGTCTTCGACGTCGTTGTTTCTTCGCTGTGGATCTTTTCGATCTCCTTCTCGCGGCGGAACCTTCTCGCCGCGGATCCGTATCACGCCTTGAGTGGTCCGACGTCCATCAGTCGCCAACATCTTCTTCTCGCCGCGGAGCGGTGCACGCTGGCTTCGTCTCCTTCATGTGTGGGACTTCATCAGTGTCGTTGTCGATCGTCGCTCTTGCCCTTCATCGTCCTCCCTCTCGCCGTGGATCCTTCTCGCCGCGGATACATTTCGCCCCTTCGGAGGTCCGCCGTCACTTCGCGAAGATCTTCATCTCACCGCGGAGAAGTGTCTGCAGGGTTCATCTCCTTCTCGCGTTCGCGTCCACGTGGACGTGGTGTGCGTGGCGAGGGCGAGGACGAATTGCTCCCCAGGGCGGCAAAGGCGCTTGTTCGTCGTCGACGCGAACAAAGGCGTGGCCACAAACGGCCATTGACGGAGGCGGGAAACATGTCTACGCACGACGGCGCACGTGGAAAGAAGCGGGAAAACATCCCCGCGGACAGTCAGGGGCGTGAAAGGGGTCGGCGGCATGTCCCAAAGACGAAGAGGCTCCTTTCAGAAGAAGCATGAGCTAGCCTGCCTCATCGACGAGGGCGAAGCTGGACGGCAGCCAACGAGGAGGAAGATGACGACGAGTTCACGACGGAGGAGGAAGCAGCAGAGGAGAATGTGGCGGCGCCTCGGGGAAGCACTCTTCAACGGTCGTGTGATCTGAGCGGTGCGAGAAGATTGGCGACGCCCCCTCCGAAGGCGCAACAAGTGCGTGCGCACAACACCCAAAAGGCGAAGGAGGTCGTCGTCGATGTCGGCGGCGAGGACGACGAGGCGTTGGAGCGCCGTAGACAGCGCAATGTGACACAAGGTGCCACGGTGACGGCAGTCAGGATACGCGCCGCGACTGAAGAAAGGCCACCTCTGGGTGGCGTGCCCTTGACGTCATCCCAGCCGTGCCTGCGCAACACGGCTGCAGAGGGGGGCTCCATGGAACGAGGGGGAGGGGAGGGGGCCCAGCAAGAAACACACGTGGCGGGTGGGGTTGCCATCGCTGCAGCAGCCGCGGGGTGTTCAGGCAATGTTGGTGTCGTGGCGAGGGCAAGAGAGGAGGTCCTTGTTGTGGAGCGGGAGGCGGCGCCCGTCGACAACAACGGGGAAAGGGAGGATGAAGACCCCCTTCTAAGCCGGGTTCGGAGGGGAGGAATGGCGAGAGATCTGGCCAACTGTGCCCGCTTGTGGGTCGATGACAAAGCGTTCTGGACGACGGGGGAGGGGTGAAGGCTGTACAACATCGTCCACGAATCGCGGGAGTATTTTGTCGCCATCGCCAGCGGAATGCAAACGCCCCCCGTGCCCAGGAGCGTCGTCATGCCGAAATCGTCGACGACCCTCACAAGGATTGCGGATCCCGCACAACTGCAGCAGGCGACCGCCCGCGCGACGACAGCGGAGAATATCGCTCTGCGCGTCTTGCATGGATGGGTCTTCAAGTCCGGGAACCGCCCCCGAGGATTCAATGTCGCTTTCCAGTACACGTTGGAGTCGGTGGCGACAGACATTGCGCGTGTCATGTGGAACGACGAGGAGTGGAGTAAGGTCGTTAGCGTGCCCGTTTGCGTGCACACAATCGACCTGAACATGGACTTGCCATTGTGGTTTGCGGGCACGAACATCGAAGACAGGCCGGAGGACAACGACATGGCGGCGCACAAGGAGTCTACCGTCGTATGCATCGCGTATGCGTTTCGCACCGCGGTGCAAATGGGTGGCATCGTCAATGGCGGTTTCATCTCGCACGAGCGTCTGTGTAGAATTGCAGATTGCTTCAGATTGTTGTTGGCTGCTTGCATGTGGTTGATGCGCATGGCGGGAGACGATGTGCGCAGCCACTAAGAAGCCTTTTACTTCGCAAAGCTGGTCGCAAAGCCCACGCTCGTCGCGTCCATGCATCGCGCTTTCGATCATCGGCGGTCCATCATCCGAGCCACGAATGCCGTCACAGAGAGACTGGGGAAGAGGAACGCAACACTCGGAGAGTACCCGAAGTACATCCCCGACTGGGCTTCCTGCGGCATCGTCTTTGGGCAAGATGCGAGCATAACGGGGCCAGAGGACGCGAAGAGGAGGGTTGGTTGGGTTCCGGCCCCTTGGAGGACGACGACGACGACGATGGAAAAGAGGACGCGTAGGGGGGGCGGTTGGGAGGGAGAGGGTGTCGCCGGTGCTTACACGTGCAGCGCGGGAGAGGGTGCGCGAACGGGTCTCTTTTTCCGGCGAGGGTAAAGGAAGCGGAGAGGGGGCAGGTCGACACTGCGTCGAAGACGAAGCTCTGGTGGCGCCACGTAGCGATGACGGATTGCTGATGGCCTCCTCCTTCGTTCCGCACGTGTGCACTGTCTCGCTGGTACATGCAGACGCCCGGCTTTTTTGGTCGTGCACTTCGGTTGGGTGCGTGATGCAACTGACTCCGTGGTTGCTTGCTATGAAACCACGCGTTCATTGAACGCGGGTTTTCCGTTCAGAAATTGAACGGAATGCACGCAGGGAAAAAAAAAAAAAAAAAAAACCTCAAAAAATTTCGAAAAACAAATATGTTATGAAGAAAAATAAAATAAACAACATTTGCCTGAGCATAACATCTAAATTCGTTACCAAATTGAAAAAAAAAGAAAGAAAACAGAAAGTAAAAAAAGTAAAAAAAGAATTGAAATTAGTGAGCGAACACTATTTGAGACCGCCATCTTTGGCGATTTTTCATTTTTTTTTGCCTTAGCAAAATGACTCCAAAATTGAGAGGCATGTACCTCTCATCATACAGAACTCATAAAAAAAAAATCAGAAAAAAAAATTATTTTGAGGCATTAAAATGATTTAAAAAAAAAATTAAAAAAATAATTGAACGTCGTTCAATTTTGAACGCGAACGCGCAATCCGCGTTCAAACTTACATTTGAACGCGAACGCGCGTTCACGACGTTCAAACGGTTACACAAGTTGCTTGTGGACGTCGATGTTGTTTCGCTGCCAATGGTGGAGAAACGATGGTAGTGGGGGTTCCCTTCGGTAGATTGTAGGTGTTGTGTACCTTTGTTCGATGTTCTGTTGTGTTGTTGTCGGCGCCACTTGTGGTGAGACAAGTAGATTGCGCTAGATGCACACCTTTATTTTGTTTGTATTATTTGAATACAGAACGATATTTCGTCAGTTTTAAGATCTATACTCGCTTTGTTTGGTTACTATTTCGTTTTCGAATTGTTTCAAATCAGATGGAGAGTTCGTCAGTTTTAAGATTAACAACTTGTGTGTTTCTTGGATGCACAATCAGACGTCTCTTCTCCATTTGCATGTGCCATCGTCGCTCATTGCTTTGTTTGCTTTGTATGTCTTATATTCCTCCCCCTCGTGCTCCGATTCACTAACAAAACATGTGTTCGTGTCCCAATCCAACACTCGGATGAAGACGAAGCGCAGTGATTCAAACTACATGAAATGTCCCTAAAAACATGGTGTGAATATGGAATAGCACACAGCATTAACGCAAAGAAATAACAACACACAATATAGACGCAATGAGATACACACACACATACACACCGCCAACACGCAATGGAAATGGACGATACATACTTAGAAACGGATTTGCGATGTCGTTAAACAATTCATAGTTAAGAGTTCAAAATCGAAGGGAGGCTGGGGAGAAGTTCCACGCCCACCCGAATGACGAACACTACTCCAACCTACGTGGCGAAAAATCGCCGCACTTCACACCCACAGTGCGCCGAGTCCGCACTGCACACCTCCAACGGCAACAACTGTAATAAAAAAACTCAAAATTAAAAGGACGGTGACGCACGTCCGCGAATCGCGACGACAAACCATGACGACCCTCGACGCAATCAACGAACCCGACGCAGGACAAAACCTAGCAACTCAATCAAGGCTGGACGAAACGACTGATCTGCCCTCCGGCCATTGCAGTGAACGCGCCCCTACGCGCGGCCGTCCAGCAAGGGAAACACGACCCTCCACGCAAACCATCAACCCCGACGGGGTACAGACGACAGCGACCCAATTAAGGCAGGACGGAATCTGCCCTCCGCCCATGGCTGCAATGAAAGCACTTCCACGCGCTGCCGTCCACAAATGAAACACGACTCACACGTGTTTCAATCTTTCCGCCAAAGCATTCCTCAGCGCCAACGCTTCGTCTGTCAACGTCAACATCGAAACAGGCTGGAGGGGCTGTTCGATCCGCAGGTCCACACGTCCTCGCACACCATTGGCGTCGACCTCCCACAACAGATTCTCGTCGAAGGGGATTCCTACGTCGATCAGCATGTTGTGCAGTATGCCTACGGCGGTGAACTGCTGCGGGAGCGTGTCTAGATTTGTCTTGTGTGTCCGCAGAAACAACTGCCACATGCCCTTCAGCCTGCCGAACGACCTCTCCACCGCTCCCCTCGCCACCTTCTGTTTGTTGTCGAACCGTTCCTTCTCGATGTGCTGATTGATGCCTCCATATAGAACGACCATCCATTCGGAAGGGGGGTACCCATTGTCCGCCAGAACGTACCCGTTCGTCTTCACACCGAACGACAGTGTCACGGGGGGACCATGGAACAACAACCCCTCCTCTGCGCGCATCGACAGGCTGGACAACTGCAGCACTCTGATGTCGTGGCAGCTACCTGGGTATCCCATGTGCACGTTGAGCACACACAAGTCGAGGTCGATGACAACCTGCGCGACGATGGAGAAACGGCGCTTCCTATCGTAGTAGTTTTCTCTAGGAGCGTGAGCCGGCTTGTCGACGTACACGTGAGTGCAATCAATGCAGCCGTGGCAGTTGGGGAACCCTTTATCAGCAAACGCCCGCAGAACGACGAGTTTACGAAGTCCCGTCGGCCACGCATTCTCATCTCCGAACACTCTTAGCAGCGCGGCAGTAACGTCGCGGACGGCAATCAACACGGAAGCTCGGCCAATCCCGAAGTTGCATGTGCTGGTCTCGTACGTCTCTCCTGAAGCCCACCTGTACAGCGCATACTCCAAAATCTGGTCCGGCAGCAAAGGCTCCCTGTAGAATGTGACCCGCCGCTGAAGATGAGGCGCACACGCCTCCGCGATTTCCCTGAACACTCGCGGCAACATTCAAAGCTTATCCCGGAAGTAGTCGTCTGTCGCGTCGTCGCATTGCCTTAGGTCTTCCCACGTGCCTCCTGTCCTGCGCTTCACCCACCTCCGCGGCGTCGCACGTGGTATCACTCCGTAACCCAACGCGTAGCACAGTTGAACAACAGCCTCCGACGTCGCCACGTAATCGGCCCCATCGAACGGATCTTGCGTCAATTTCCTCCGTCTACGCGCGCGCAACTGGTCCTTCAGCCGCCCCAGCGCCCTCTCCTGCTGAGATCGAAGAACGATCGTGGACACGGCCGTCGCCACTGCCTGCAGCTCACCATGACTCAACGGATCACGTCTACCCTCTGCGCCGCCCTCCATAGCCGCGACGTCGAAATGGTCTCGTCGTTCCGCTGCCGGCTGTGTCGTACTTCCGCATGCGTCGAAAGGCTGCCCCTTTTCTATGTCGATAGTTCCGCAGACGGCAAAGAGGAGCAACACGCAGTCGACCCGTGTAAACGTCCACGGCGATGGAAACACCAAACGCTGCACGCGCAGTCACAACGGCCTGGGGACGGAACCTCCGCCGCCGCTCACCCACTTTCCGCAGCACGCCAACCTCGCGCCGCCAGGCACACGTCGTCGTCGTCGTCGCAGCGGTCGGTCAAACTTTGAATTTCAAATGCCCACGCCCTTGAGGTTTTAATTTCTTTCCGTGTCGCCCGACGTCTGCCGTTTCCCGCCTTGCGTCGCTGGACCACGGCGCCTCCACACGGACAAAAGAGACTGGACCAAGGACGTCCGACCCCGCGGCCGCTAATTTACATATGAAACTGGCCGCGGGGAAGCCACAAGGAAACATCCTCGGGGGACGTCCCCAAGGATGAGTGGAACGACGCCGCAAATTCCCCTAAAAAGCCACAAGGACGTTTCCTTGTGGCTCAAGGAAACCGTAAGGAGTGTCTAACGAGGCCCTAAAACATTAAAAAAAAGAAAGGTTGTAGGGTTTTTTGAACCCTACCCCCCCCCCCCCTTTTTTTTTTCCAAATCGCATATTTTTTGGTATTAAAAAAAAAATCGAAAACAACAAAGAAAACAAGAAACAAAAACTAAAAGTTGATGTTTTTTTTCTTTTTTTTCGTTGTGTTTGGGCGTGCGGAGGGGGGGGGGGGAAGGAAGGGATCCCCCTCCCACCACTCAAGCAATCAATCAATCCAAGAAAAAAAAAGAAGTGCGCACGTGTGTGTATGTGTGTCACAGTGTGTGTGTGTGTGTGTGTGTGTGTGTGTGTGTGTGTGTG